TTCATAATTTGTAATGTGATTTTATTCCTTTCTGCTCTCATTTTGTTATCTCAGTACTAAGCCTGATCACTACTATACGTAGCACTGAACGCACTTGACAAATGCTTCACAAATGAAGCTTAGAAATGTAAAAATCTACCTTTTAACAGGGACATTAAACAAAACTCACATCATGTTTAGGATCTAAAATTTTCTAGTTTGAATGGGTCATGCATATTAATTATAGCTGACTTTAAAGTGTGAAAAAATTCTACACTAAATTTTCAGGAGTCTTCAATGTCGAAGTTGTCATTTTTTGTAACCCCAAGCAATCTCAAGTTGGTATATGAATAAACAATAGATTGGTATCTTTAAACAAGAACTGGTATGAGGCAAGTGATCTTGAGGTAATATTAAATTTTTTAGTTATATTAAACTGTTAAATACTTGCTAATTGCTAGTCAGTTAAACTCATTTTCTTTATGAGTTAGAAAAAAAAAAAAAAAAACTTGTGATTGGAAGTAGCCTTTGAATGTTTGCATTTCTATCGCTGTACAAAATAAAATCAAATGAAGTTTTCAACAAATTTTTTATTAAATTTTACGCACATTATAATATAAACACTCAATGCATCAAACAAATCATTACACATTATAAATATATAAAAAGTTATTGATTTTTTCTTCTAAAAAATTTATTAATTCAACATTTATGTTTTAAAAGCTATAAACTAAATAGCATCGGTTTCAAATTTATCTAATAAATTCTTTTTTTTACTTATGACACGACATGTTTCTAAATATTTCCTTAAGATTTCGTCGTACTCCGTACCATTTAATGCATCATAGGCTTTTTTCAGTTCAGTCTTCTCAGCTATTTCATCACTGACATTAGCAATCCTTTCATCCAAAGTGCTGCTAAGAGCTCGAAAAGCATCAATCGTTACTGGCGTTTCTTTGTACATACGTATGGTACAGGATAATTTTGTAATCATGGCTTTTAGTTCTGCTATCTTAGACTGAAGAAGTAAGCTCTCTGTATCTTTTAGACTTTTTTCTTGGATTTCGCATTTTAACTCATGCCATCTTTTTAACGATTTTAAACAATAAACCAAGTCTCTTTTATGTTCCAGACAAACTTCGTTGATTTTGTCTCCCCAACTTAAGTTATCTAACTCACCATTTTGTTGGAATCTTGACCGAATCAGCGACTCATTACTCTTTATTGCTTCCTTTGTTGATCCTGCCGCATTTTCATACCTAAACCAAACAAAGATTTCATGAAAAGATATTTATTGAGCAAATCAATGGTATTTTCATGACAACAAATTACGTAGTCAAAAAGCTGTGTATCCTTTCCCTCAACTCAGCTTCCAAGCTGCTTTTTATCGACAACTGTTCCTCATAATTAAATTCATGTTGTGGGAGGTCGATGATTCCTAGGAGAGTCAGTTCATCCTTTACATCTTTCGAATGATTAGGTAAGTAGAGGCACTTTTTCACTTTGTTAATTATTATAAAATCCATCAACTTTTTCATGGTATCAGCTTCAAGGATGTTACTCTTGTTATCAACAATATTCACAAGACAATCATAAATGAGCTTCTGTTTGGCATATTCACAGGTACTCTCTTCACAGGCAGCAAGCACTTTGCTGACTTTAGCTGATTCTGACAGTCTTTTTAATTCTCCCTTTTGGCTGTCTGTGGTGAAACTTCGGGTAATATCACGACAACTTCGCCATTCCGAGACATTACTTGTCACATCCCATTTGTACAGAGTTGAATTGTTTGCCTTGGATATCCGAGATATATTTGAAATACCTAAAAAAAAGTTTACATGAAATTTTATAGTTTTAATTAAAGTGCAAATATTTGATAAACCTTAAATCACAAACTTAACCCTTGATTCAAGTACAACGGGATATGAGTAGATACTTTTAAATAGGGGACAACTCAAAATTTAAGTATAATTTGTGTGGACACATTTTTAATTGTTCTCTAAGCGGAGGTATATTTCAAAGATAAAATATTAGAAGGTAGGTAACGTAAAAAAAAAAAAGTGCCAAAATACCTATTTGACATACAAATAATTACCAGATATCCTGCTCAGGTCGTCCATGCTCGTACTCCGTATCCCGTGTTCAGTCATGATTTAGAAGTCGAGAAAACACGATACCATTTGTTTTTTAATGTAGGATTTAACACATCAAATAGGTAAACATTTGTACGTAACGGTAAGTGACGGTTCTGCTTTTCATTCTGCTGGTTGCCGCAATTGCTATAGGGATAGGGGCCTCATCGAGGCATTCGATATCTCGCAAAAGTAAGCATTTTTGTCGATAATCGATCGGGATGATCCCTAAACTGAGCATGCGCATTATAGTTATTTTTTATACTTAAAAGGTTTGTTCATTTTCGGAGCTATTCACATAGACATTTTTTGCTTATTTCATTGTGAACGTTCATATTGAAAAGGGGGTTCCACTGTTCCGCTAAACTCAAATTGAGTGAACAGACTGAACAGACCTATGCTGTGTTCTCTGTCAGTCAACGTAGTTGCGACCTTAGTCGACGGCTCCGAAGAAAAAAAGCATTAAATAAATTTCAGCGAAAACTAATGATAACGAAGACTTCTGACTAAAACTATCAACAATCACTTAGCTTCGACGAATACTAACGTTCACTGCTCCTTTTTGACTAAGACTATCAATATACACAGGTTTTTGAGAAAAACTAACAAAACTTGAGACTTTTGATCAAAACTATCAACACTCGCTGCACTTCGACAAAGAGTAGCAAGAGTCACGAGTCCTCCAAGCAAGACTATCAAAACTCACTGCTTTTTCAAGAAAATCAACAACAATAGCTGCACCTCGATAAAGAATAGCAAGACTCCTCAATCCTACGAGCAAGACTATAAAAANGCGCAAAAGATATAAAATAAAAGATTGTGAATAAAATTTATTTTATTTTCTGGATTTAGGTTATTTTTTGGGTCTTCTATAAGTGTCGTCATATAGTTTTAAAAAGGTTTGATAAAACTTTGACCAATCTCTTTTTATTGTGCTTACACTCAATTCATTATCAGCAAAGCAATCATTTACATCACTGTCATCATCTTTTTCAACCTCATTGAGATCACTATACATCAGATCAAGTTTTTTTTATATTTTCCAATTTTCGCACGTACTCCTTTTTTCTACCTCATATTTAAAACCGAACAACTTCATAAAAATTGAAAAAAATTCCACCGCTTTTTTATGTCGTGTGCTTGCAACAATAATCCGACGGTTGATCGGGACAGCGATTGCATTTGTATATTTGTATATTTTAGCAAATGAGATAGTACAGTTCTAAATCCATATTATTGAAAGCTTTGCATGCCGCTTGTATAATGACTTTGCTGAAATCAGTTTCAATGATAGACACAAGAGGCCACTAGCTAGAATTGGTTTTAAGACTTTCAACAAAAATGTCTAGAGAATAGACTCCGGACCCCTATAACCGCAAGTAATATATTATAATGCGGACACCGTAGGTCGCCATTCTAACTCCGGTATTACAACACTGAATAAAATACTCGGGTGTCAGAATCAAGGGGTTGAGAAAATATATGACCAGTTGCACCTAGATTTAAACAAAAAGGATGGTTTTTCGAAACTCCAATGAATTCCATTATCTGCTTATGGGTAAGCAAAGTAATGGAGAATGATGGGTATACCAAGTAACCTTGTATAAATCCTGACGCGTATTTGCTTTTCAAATCCTCATTAACTAATAGTGCATGTCGTAATTTACATAAAAACAAATTCAAATCTGAATCCAAATCAAATTTTTTTTTAGATTCGCTAGATATTTTATCCAAAATTGTAATTAAAGGTGCATGATTTCGATTTCTGCTCGCCAAAACATCATGCTTATTTTGGCTCAACATTTCACGTGCTAAAATAGTCACGAGCTTTTTTCCAATTTTTGAGCATATATCTTTTTTCTCGCCTTTTACGAACTATCTTTTTGTTTGTTCTCCGTCATGATTGTAATTGCCAGCTATTATGGAAACGTGAGCTGTGTAGTCGCTAATTGATGTTATTGTTTCATTCATCACAATTTTGTATTTACAGCAGTTACTCATTTTTACATTCTGATACAGTAATAAATGGCATACAGTTTAGGTTTCTTCTATTACCCCCGTTAAGTTCATGTTACTTAGGCCGCGAAACATATTTATCATTAATGGCTTCGAAAAAATCACTTATACACTCAGTGTATCCAGTGGAAAATTTCGCTGCATTTGGAGACCAAAATTTTTCTAAAAACACAGCGGGGACCGTAAATGACTCGGTGAAGAACTTAAAGAAATTCTCAGAATGGGATATTCCGAACGTTGAATTAAGGCCACTGTTTTTTATTGGAGTACTTGATACAACCGGAGGGGGCATACCATTGCCCTCATCAATTGAGTTGTATGTCCCTACTGTACGTGATGCTTCCTCGGACTTCAACAAATGATATATTGGTCTCGGCTACAGCAGAAGTCGACAAAATGTCTTCCGTGAATGATAGATTATTTAGAATTTTATGTACGGTATCAACAACTGCAATATCGCTTTCTATGGCACATGTAGGGCCCACTGACATATTTTTATTTGTAAGGCTTTTTCTTGTTCAATTTGAAGACATCTTTCTACTTCGTGTTGCAGCGGAGACTTAAGATCATTCCAAAAGTATTAAAGATCATTTTGAAAACTCTTATTAGGAGCTAAATTGCAAGCATTTGCGATATAAAAAAAAGATGTGGTTATGAATAAAACAATTTGTTATTCATAGACAAATAACCCCTCTCCCCCGCGCATACACACGTACAAACACACAATGATAATTAAAGCATTCGTTAATTGTTTACTTTGAAATACTGTGTGCTAACGCTGATTCTTCAAAGATGATTTTTATTACGTGTAAGACTGGTTTTTTTATATTTTGCAAGATAAATACGATGTATGTCAAAAGTTATCTAACATTGATCATTACTGAACATCAATATATCCATTAATTAGACCTTTAAGTGTGAGAGGGGCTATCAACGTGACTAAAACTATTTAAATCATGGACAAATATTTTGTTTCTTCATAGAGAAAGCTTCGCAATGGGCGAAAAATCACATATTAAGATAACACGTTACAGTCACGTTTTCTGAGGTCTGCAATCGTTGTAGATGACTCTGAAAAAAAAGTGTGTGTGTGTGTGTGTGTGTGTGTGTGCGTAAGCAGTCACATCTCAGGAATCAATCAACTGATTTAACTAGTCCTGGGCTGTTATTTTTGCTTTTGGATACGAATCAAACTTCGATTCTATTTTTTTTTGTGATTTTACTGATTTTCAGAATTTGATTATTTAAAACAAGTTAATTTTCAATTTATCGTTAATTTATAATATTTTTAGATGATAATTGTAGAAGATTTTTCAACTTCATGAAAAAACAATCCAAGAACAAATTCGAAAAATTTACTGTGTGAATGTGTGGGGATGTAAGTAGGCCATGAATATAATCAGTCATATCTCAGTATTCCATCGTCCAACGTTGATAAATTTTGACTTTTTTTTGTTTTTAGATGCTCAACTGTTGGGAAATAATTTTGATTTCATCGATTTTGGTTTTTTTATGTATACATATTTTGTTGATTTTCAAAAATTGACTATTTAAAATTAACATATTGCGGTTCTCCGTCAAAAACTAAACATTTTATTATTTTGTTCAAAATTTCTACGCTGGCGTTTGAGTTTCTCCGAATCCCAAATTGTTGTAAAGAAATTCTGGACTACAGGGAATAGTACGGTAATATTTCGCGCAAAAGATATAAAATAAAAGATTGTGAATAAAATTTATTTTATTTTCTGGANAAATAACCCACAAAAATATAATTCAAACAAACTTTTGATACGGTAATTAATTAAAAAATGACATGTAACAGTTTGTACGTCCAAGAAACTATGTATATAACACATAACAATGAGGGTACGAATAATAATTTTTGAACACATCTATCTATTTGCTTGTAATATTGAGATAAAAATATTTTTATTATTAACTATACACCCCAGTATAACTATACAACAAGTATAAGTATCCGCATACATAACTCTCATTAATTATGTGCATATTAAATAAAAAAAGGCGAGAAATCCAAACTTTTTGCGGATAGTGTCGCTCTAGCCGCTACTTCTCATGTAAAATGATATACATCATTAAGCTAACACATAAATACGTTTCTCAAATTATTTTTGAGCCCTGAAAACCGTACATTACCCTGTAAACACGTATTAAGAATACCGAGCTAAGCAAAAACTCACATTTTCTTGGCGATAAATGACGATTTGCTAATGGTAAATGTACAAAAAAAATTTTTCCGCCCTTGGATGGTTTTGGGAGGCTGGTACTTCCTCGGGCGAAAAAGCAGTTTTCCGAAACTCGTTCGAAAAGTCTCCTTTACGAACCTCGTTACGTCCCTCACCTTCAGCTCAAGCCGCAAACCCCGCAGGCCGAAAACAAAGACTTTTCAAACTCGTAGGAAAACTACTATTTTATGATCCTTGTACTCAAATACAACTATACTAAAAAACCTAAGCCCTGGGCCCCCTCAGGCCCGATTCGTCCCTGGTGAGGCTACTTCGGCGTGATGCTAGTTTCAGCTCCATTATAATAACCAGACTTCTATTGCAGGTAGTAGTAGTAATATAAGTTTATTGGCTTTAAGGGTAACTTACACAGCCATGACACAACATGAGAATTTTACATGGGACGAAATATACATCAGATTCTTAGTGTCTACGCTTGTGTATACAATATACGTGTATGTATACATATATATAAATAAACCAGATTTTTCTCAGTAACGAATTTTGAATTAATTTATAGAAGCATTAATTATTAAACCACTAGTGACTGTAAAAGGACAAGTTTACGTACAAAAGCTACATTTTATCATTATATATTAACGTCGATATTCATAATAAAATCAGAGATAGTAGAAATAATACTTGGGTTGATATTTGTCAGCAGAGCAAGTATGGAAAAGGGGCCATACAGATTTAAGTCGTGTTGTTTCTTGATCATAATCTGTCTTTGGGAGTCAAAGAGCTCACAGGCCCAAAAAATATGTTCGACTGTATCAGATTCCCTTTTACATTTACAGATATCAGAAGAGACAATTTTTAAAATAAGGTAAATAATTTATTTCAGAAAAAACATGCTATTTCTAAAATCTTCAAGTATTTTTTTATGTCTGTATCAAGCGTTTATGCTTCAGCCAATGTACAGTGCATAATTTTCTTATTCTTACAAAACAAGTACATAAATACATACAATTATCGCTACAGATTATACAGAAGTTTCTTCAAATTTCAACGATTATAATTAAACTACAACATTACAATTGCTACATATATTTATAACATATACAATTATAACAATTTATAAACTTTTTCAGAAAGCAAACGGGATTTTGGATGATTTGTAATACTCNTTATTTATTTAAAAGCGTGGCCTGTAAGCACCCCGAAGTGCAGCGAGTGTTGATAGTTTTGATCAAAAGTCTCAAGTTTTGTTAGTCTTTCTCAAAAACCTGTGTATATTGATAGTCTTGGTCAAAAGTAGCAAGTATAGCTAGTTTTGATCAGAACGCAACGAGTTTGGTTAGTTTTTGAAAAACGCTAAAATATCTTGCTTTTTTTCTTCGGAGCCGTCGATAGGCTTTGTTGCCTGATGGAAAAAGAGGTATAGGTCTGTTCAGTCTGTTCACTCAATTTGAGTTTAGCGGAACAGTGGAACCCCATTTTCAATATGAACGTTCACAATGAAATAAGTAAAAAATGTCTATGCGAATGTGAATAGCTCCTTCATTTATCCACCTTGGAGCACTCGGAGGCTCGGACTCTCGGAGGCCTCCGCATTGTCCGAAATATCTTTATACTATATAGGTATTCTCACCGCTTATAACTGATGTTTGTAAACACTGAGCAGTGTAGTGAGTATACCTATATAGTATAAAGATGTTTTGGAGGTCTCCGAGGCTCCGAGTGCTCCGACAAAGAACTCGTGTTCATTTATTGATCGCTCGGAGCAGTCGGAGCGCTCCAAGGTGGATAAATGAACAAACCACAAACCTAAGATAACTGCTGGAGCTTACTAGACCAAGAGCTGAAGCCCGAGGGTGGTCAAAACTTTAACCAGCCGCCACTCGCTCCAGAATTAAGGAACCTTATGATTCGTGGAGATCCGAAATATTTCGGTCATATTGTGGTGAAGAATCATGTGTAATTATCATAGACATTTAAAAAATACTTATAGACTGCTCGTTCTTATGAACGTCGCTGAAGCACAAGTAGAAAAAGACATAACATCGAGCGTGGGTATCTGTGTCTCTCGCACATTGCCAACGGCACGGGTTCACATTCAGGATTATTCTGGTTTATTATGCTGAAAAAGTTGTGCCCTAGTGTTGTGAAAATCTGCAACTGTAAATATAGTTGAAGGTTAAGTTCACTCATTTTGCGAAAGTTTGTTCGTTATTTTTCCGTAAGTATAGTGTTTAAATAACGTTATTTGAAACTAACTATCGTACGATGAAACGTAATTGTAAATAGTACGGGTTTATTGTGTTTTTCAGTACAAAATTACGAATATACATTAACGTCTGATTTTTTTCCGTCATACAGTAATAATGCACTTGAAAAAGGTTTGTTTACAAGCAGATGTGTACATGGTTTGCTTACAGCATGCACTGTCCACTGAAAATTTTGAAGTGATGGGCCTTCTTATTGGTGATGTACGTTGGTAATATTATGTTGTTTTTTTCTCTTCAATATTTGTTTAAACTGCTGTTACGTTGTCCAACTTTTGCAGAATGCAGAGGGTGTTACTACCATATCTGCTGCGATAATTTTAAGACGATCAGACAAAAAAAAAGACAGAGTAGAAATATCTCCAGATCAGCTGCTGAAAGCTACAAATGAAGCTGAACGTTTGACAGAGGAGCTCCACAAAAGAGTGAGGGTTGTTGGATGGTACCACTCGCATCCACACATCACAGTTTGTCCATCCCACGTTGGTAATGCATAGCTTTTCTTATTTAATATCTGTATGCAAGTGTACATCCATCCATCTGCATCAAATATTGAATTGTAATTTTAGATGTCGGGACGCAAGCAATGTATCAGATTATGGACTCGAGTTTTGTTGGCCTGATATTTTCAGTATTCTCAGAAGACAAAGGCTCAAAGGTGAATTGAGATAAATTACATATTTCAATTCATTTACACGTGAATTTTTCGTAATGTTTTTTTTACATTGCAGGAACAAGAAGTATCGTTAACTTGTTTTCAATCAGACGATGGGAAATCTAAAGAAATACCTTTAGTTATTAAACCTACAAAAGATATATCGACCAATTGTTTAAAGGTTGTTGATTTTTTTTTGTCTTGAAAAAAATAATGTAATTTTATCCTGAGATAGTACAAAAAACTGACATCAGAACAGTTACTACAGCATTCAGAAGTAAAAGTGCATTGAATGAAATTGAGTTTTCTTGAAACTCTGATTTTTGTGCAACACATGTGTGCGCTTTTCTTCAGGTCTTGTTAGTAGGCTATCTTAAAAGTTAACTAGACCATCAGTAGACGCGTAATCACACACGTGATCACACACGTGCACACTTTGATAACATTTTGACTAGACCTTCACCTCACACTACTTCCAACAAAGAAACGTTTGTCACCCTAATTAGTTAATACTCAGCAAATAATGAGTACCTGCAAACCACTGGAATATTAAATTTTGAAACTTACGTGGTTGGTTACTCATAATCTGATAGAAATATAGAGTTTTTTAATTGTTTGTCCCATTTCTCTAAGAGCAATGTAACAATATAGCATCCATACTTCTTTAAGCTCAACTAACCGAAATTTCGTTACAGTTCAAATGTTTATTTTTCAGACTATGACTGAGTTACCTAAAATTTTGGCACAAGAGGAAGAAGAGATGGCTGAAGGCACTAGAAACCATCCCGACCTTCTTGTTTCTATACACAATAATGCAGGTAATCGTTAGTTGATACTATTAACTAATTTGTTATTGAAAAAAAAATCAATAAATTATGTGTTTTAGTGCAAACTCGAGCACTCGGCCATGTTACCGATATTATCACCAGGCCATTAGTACAAACGTTTTACGGAAGGTATGAGTCTAATTTAACAAAAATAGATTATCTTCATAAGCAAATTCAGCATTTGGAAAGAGAATTGCAAAATCAGTAAAAGTTAAAATTAAACGCGAGTTCGACGTTAATTACTTAATGCTGCACATGTTTGTAAGCAGTATCTGTAAATTTGGGAATACAAACATAAATTTATAATTTTAGACGTAAGAAATAAATACTTATTATTTTTTAAAGGAACAAAAAGTATTTTATAATAAAAGTTATGACAAACGTTGATGAATGATAAACGAAGTGTTGAATTATTTAATTTCATGTTTTCAACTTTTTTTATGAACAAAGATCAGGTGGCGATAACTCACAATTGCTACATATATACACTACGAGAACAGCATCGTATTTAAATATTAAAGTGTATTTAAAACATTGACTCCGCAGAACGAGAAATATGAATCGGATGTGAAGGACTACGTGCTAGCCTTTTACGAGGTAGCTTTTCGAGTGACGCCTGGAGGCTTATAAATTCTGGTCGATTATCAGCGCGATACGACCAACAATGCATTAAAATGTCCTAAAAAAATGTTGTTAAAATGAGTGTAATTTGAGTTATTATGTTGTAATGTACATATGTTTTCATTGCCATTACCTTGACATCGCGAGAGGCCTGTAAATTTGCCAAACTTTGTTTCATTCCTTTGCCCACTTGCCAAATTATCGCTTCTGGCGGTTGTCCTTTCAAAGGCCATTCGCCACATAACAGTTCATACCAAACAGTGCTATAAAAAGTAGATGAGGATTGCTTTTATTTTCTCTCAATCTTGTTATTAATAATTAATCATATAATTAATCATAAAATGTAAAAACCCACCCAAACGAGTAGACGTCGGACATTGTGGTAAATGGTAATTCCTCCTGATCCCTATTTTGCTGGGGCCGCAATCGTCTAACGATTTCAGGAGCCAAGTAACATAGCCAACCAGGTGGTATGCTCAGTCCATCACCCATCCTAAAAAAATGTATATTTCAAGTATTTTCAAGTCTATAATTCCTAGATAAATAATTCATTTATCGTTGGCGCACCTGTTTCCATAACAAAGTTTAGTAACGCTAAATAAACCAAAATCAGTTATCACAATTTTTCCATTTTCTAGGAATAAGTTCTTGCTTTTGAGATCTTTGTGAACTATTCCACGACGATGAAGATACCCCATTCCCTGAAAACATATGACAGAAATTATGATAATTATATGTATAATAATAAAAATTCCTATCGCACTATCTGATAAATATACCTGACAAATTTGTTGGGCTATATTTGCAGTTTTGTTCATACTAAATTTATCCTTACGCAAATGAATATGTGTATAAAGAGTCATGCCCTTGCTCATACTAGTTACTATTGCCAAGCGCGGAGGCTTCATACAAGCTCCCATAAATAATACTAAATTATCGTGTCTTGTTTTTCGGAATGTTGCTACCTGAAAAAAAAAGATGAACATCTTTCTAACAACTAGATGCTGAGTATATCTGTGAGACAATTTTATAATCTTAAGAATACGTTTGAATTAGAATACGTGAGTGAGACACAAGGACTTGTTTTTTTTTCTTTTGTTCTGTCGTAATTTCAAACGTGTTGATAAGATTATGAACTTGCCGTCCGAGCGCACTATCATTACATAAAATTACGCACCTCAAGCTTGAACGCTTCAAGTGTTTTATCATCATCAAGATAATAGTCCATGTTTAAAACCTTAATAGCTACATCACCGTGCCAGTTGCCTCTGTACACAGTACCGAACCTTCCTTTACCGATAGGTTCCCCGATTTTCAGTTCGTCATATGGAATGTCCCATTCGCGTATCGATAACTGAAATAAGAAACAGAACATGAATCAAAAATCGCAATGGTCTGACATTATCATTATCTAACAATGACGTGTCAATGCTTACGCTATTTTGCCTCGGCCATCGGCTATCTCCGGATTCTCCGTCCGACACTTGCGAATCCTGAGAATCAACCCGAACAGGAGTCCTTTCTGAATCTGCACTGACGCTCCCAGACCCTGAATTGCTCACCGTTCTGTCACTATCGCTGGACATCGTGTTCTCCAGTCTATGTGTTTCCAAAGTAACGCCTTTACCGTTAGGCGCGACTTCTGTATATGTATACCAATATTAAATAAGATAATAATTTATTTGACATAGAGTAACAGAATTTACTGTGACCTAATACAATTAAAACTTTACCTGGAAAATGGAACTGCGCTTTGATGCTTGCCTGGGGAGTTTGGCTAGGATTCGTAGGTAACAACAAGGCAGGACTAGACGGTGTTGAGCTGTTGCAGCTCGAAGTATTTGAACTAGAATCTGCACCCTGAAACGCGTATGGTGTCATAATAATATGAAAAATACCGTATGCTAATTCGAGCAAATAAAAACCATTTTTGACTTTCATTTGACAAGCTACTTATGCATAACAAAAAAAAATTAGCGTTTCGATTCACCATGCGTTGAAACAAATGACTGCACAATAAAGTTAATATTGAGTGTAAAATACTAAAGTCTACCTGAAATAATGGTACCAATGGAAATGGATGCGATGATTTTCGATCTTTTCGATGAGTAGGATGATAATTTAAGCTGTGATGATTCGGCGACATGGTTTCTGTTTTAGACATTACTGGAGAGACACTGGATGCATCTAATAACAAAAAAATTTACATTAAGAGTCAAAAACATATTAATACATTTTCATTTCTAAAGTTGATTAAAATATATAGAAAAATAAAGCAACTCATTACACGCACTGTCCGAGAGGTAACGAATTTTGAACGCTTCTACCAATTCCGCAGGTAAGCAGCACGAAGCAGGTACATGAGACTCGCACTCTTTGTGACACTTGAATTTACACTCTTTGCACTTCAAACTTCTACCCCAATACATTGGCTTATTACAAAAGTCACATGTAGTAGAAAGCACTGTGTAATTTTTTGTAAAACGATGCTTGATTGTGTGTGTCATTTGTCCCATCGTCGGCGTTCTTGGAGACTTTGGCACTTGAAGGCTCGTCCCTGGCGGCATAATTACAGTTTGTCATCAGTTGATTTGTTTGGTTTAAAAATGAAACCCAACTAGAAAAATATTCAACGATTATTTGTAATTACCGATTGGCCTAAAAGCATTGTCGTCGCCTTCCACGTTTGAATAAGGTGGAGACTTGATGGGACTGCTACTGTTGAGTAACGAGCCATCGATATCACTGCCTATACCATATGAACCGGGTGCTGTAGGTAAACGCGTTCTCCGCCCCGTAGTAGCCGATTGTTGATCGCTAACGAAACTGGGAATTAATTCAATGTAAAATCGAATTTCAAGTTTATAAATTGTATGAGTTAAATAAACTACCTTGAAGCTATTTCTCCGTTTTCAAGACGATTTGCTAATTGCGATTCGTGAGACTTTGACTTTGTTAACGAAAACACATCTGATTGAGAGAGATTATCTGGTCCATTCTGATTTCGTTTAGATATGGGTGGTGTCGTAGAAAATTTAAACGTATTTATAGCTGGAATAATTCAATGCCAGATAATTTTTTAGTTTTCAAAGCTTGAAAAATCAACCATTTGAACTGAGCCAACCAACCTTGATCCTTATACGAGAGAGGAGTAACGGGTGGACTGGTGGACGATAACGAGACAACAGAGGAGGACTGACCTAGCGCATGAGTGTAAAAATTATTATTCTTATTATTAGAGTATGGAATGCTGTCTTCCGAGGGCACGGAACTTCTTGGGACGCGAGTTCGGATGGGCCGAGGAGATGGACCACTTTTTACGTTAGGTATATTCCAGGAATCCCAGTATAAATTCATATCACTATCTATATCACCGCGAACGAGGGCATCTAAAGAAAATAAAATAAACGTTACATTCGTGCAAGTTATATATTTCCAATATGCATAAGAATACTTACCCATATAGCACCGAAGATTACAAAGTGCCCTGCATAATCTGCGCAGCTCTTCTTTGTGTTGGGTACTGTTTTTACCCAGCAGTGACCCCAACTCATGTTCCGATTTTTCTTTCAAAGCTTCCAAAGTACTGGTTTTGGAACACACCAACTAAAAATATGAAGTAAACATTTAAAAGATTTACACGAATGATACATTTATCATTCAAGAATTGTGTTATTGTATACCTGTATGGATTCTGGAGTTAAACCTACAACTTGCAGCCATTGCTTGAGAGACGGAAACTGTTCCATCTCCGTGGATAAAGACTCATTGACAAGTTTTTCTTTGGTAACAAGTTGTTTTGAATATAATTTTATTAGTTTTCCCTGTAACATTAAAACGGTAATTCAGTTCCATTAGTCTTACAACGTAATTCTAAAATTAATTGTAATGAGTTCTAAATTTATAATTGAGAAATACTTGATTGTCATCTCATGTTATCGTTTTTTTAATTCACGTTTATAATTTTGCTAAAAATGCGTTCAACACAACACAAAAAATCTTTCTGATTAAAAAAGTTTCCAACTCCAATTATTTGTCTTGTTACTTAAATGATGAAAACGTAATTTTTTTGATAGTTAAACGTAGGTGTAAAAAAACATCGTTATACATTTATGAATAAAACGATTTTTTTTCAGAAGATAGTGACAAAATCATTTTAGATTTTAGCTGATAACAACGTTTGGTGATAGTAATTAAAAAGTCATAAATATTCTTTGGAATTCAATTTAAAAAAAAAACTGTGTTAATAACAGAAGAAAAAATTTTTTACATAAATATCCGAATTATATTTCATGGGAAAATGGATAACGATTCATTGGTAAAAAAAAAAACAGATTTTTGGGAATCCAAAATTTGAGTTATAACAACAGTAAAATTGATTCCTTCCGTAATTTACACTCATCACGCAAATAATTCAAGGGATAATATAAATATTGCAAGCTCTATTGCACTCGATGAGATCTTAGATGGTAATGATAAAAACATTTAAATTTGAAGGGCCGATCCATAAATCGATATCAAAATACCAATGAATGACAGCAGATGAAATTAGGAAATACTTTTAAAGTACTGTTAGATCAAAGTAGTGGCTATTATTTGAGAATCCTATGTAATGAATTTTAAGCATTGTGCTCATAGCATGAAAGGTAAAAAATCTGTATCGCATACCATCTAATTAAAATGTAATTTTAGTTTTTATCTTTCTATATGGATTTAAATTCTTATCACAGGAATTGTAACGCTTACAGGTACGTAAGACCAGGCTTTGTTATATATACATATAAACAATCGTTATGAAGTATATTTTATCAATCTCTAACACACCATCAAACACTGATACTGTTTTTTGACACACATGAGCATGCAAAGATCAGCAGAGCACTAATTTTGGTGAAACAACAACAACAGAGTGATAACAATTGTAGATAAATAAATTATTAATGTACAATGATGAGTGTGGTTACACTTGTAATGGTATTGAGTGGTGGTGTTATCATTAACCTCAAGAGAACGGATCTCCTGCTGGGTGAGCTCGGTACTGGTGAAGCACCGCGTCCTGAGACCCTCAAGCCGGTCTGCCGAAATGTCTATCACCTTCTGCACGTCCTCAAGGGCCTTGCGCATCTCATGCTCCGATTCCGGTGCAGCTTTGCTGCTGCTGCCGCCGCTATCACTTCCACCACCGCCACCTCCTCCGGTGCTGCTGCCTCCTCCACCACCACCACCACCCCCGCCAGCGCCACCGCCGTCCGCTGCCATCCCTCGAGGCCGCGGAGACAGCCTGACCAGCGCCTCCTCCGCCTGCGCCTCCTCGTCCGCGTCGTGATCGTCGTCGTCGTCGTTGTTGTTGTTATTTCCCGAGCCCGTCCGAGGACAAACACGAATTAGCGTCACCGCCACGCTCTCAGCTGCTGCTCCTGTATTGTGATTACCAAATGGAGCCGAAGAAACCCTCTTCCGCGAATGATGGCACTGTCACTGGATCAACGCCAACGCCGCTGGGTCTGGGTCTCTGTGTAACAACAATCTGTTTACACCAGCACCAGGACCACCTCCTCGTGAACATAACTGGTTTCTTCCTCCTGTACCTACTTATTTTTGTTTCTCTTTGGCACACGCGTGAAGGCTACACAGCACGTATATATAGTATAGTATCTCTCACATAAATATCACATACGATGTAGATGTATAGGTATACCTTTGATTATGCCTTATGCCTTATGATGAGAGATTGGAGATTGGAGGGTTGATGGAAATTAATGATAGGTTCACATTTATGTAAGGACGAGAGTGTAGAGAAAACACACGCGCGTTAAATTCTTCTGATTAAGTATCTGATGCTTATGTCGCGGACGCGGAGTCGCAGAGTGCGTGTCTATATGTTATGTACCTACTAAGATATGACAATTGTTTGCAACTTTGCCAGACTTTGCACGCACGACGGTGTGGTAAATGGTACTTGGTATGGTACGCGACAGTGTCGCGGCGACACTGCAGTACTTTTACTGCATGACGAGTCACACGTCACACCGTCACACGACGCACCCCCACAACCCACAATCTGACACAAGTGTCCAAGTCACAGTCACTGTATCATGGTCACATCATGGTCACTGTTACAACACTACACGACTACACTATTACAGTTATATTACATTACGTGATTACGCTACTTTTGGCATCTTGCATATATATAAGTACATAACTTACCTACTTCTACGCAGCGCGGCAGTCTCGGCACTCGATAGAATCGCGACGCTTGCTATTCAACAAACCGCGCAGCTCTACTTACCAGTACCTACTAGTTTTACTTTTTACTTCAATCTTTACACTCAACTGACAATTTTTTCTAGGTATTTTGACCTCCTGAACACAATTTTTTTTTTAGGGTGAATTGCTGTCAAATTTGCACATCAACAGTTATTAACAAATTTTAAAATCGGTAAATTTCAACTTTAGACTTGTCTTTTGATTATAAACTTTGAATTGTGAGCTTCCTGCTATTGAAAAAATTTTATGTGCATCTTTGACTTGAATTAGCCGACCCACTTCTTCTCAACTATTTTCAAAAGTTGTACTAATAATATTACTGACTGCGCATTGCTGTACGACTTTTAAATCAATATTTATAAACGAATTTTTCAGCAAATGAAATAAAATAAATTCTTTTTTTTTTTTTAGCAAAAAAATTGCGAGATAATTTTTACTTTAAACTTATCAAAGAATATGGAAAAAATTTTAATTTACTGAAAAAAATTTTTATTGTTTAAGTTGTTGAAAAATTTACTTATAACTATAATAATTTGCAAGTCGTGCGGGAATCTACCATTAATAATTTAGTACATCTTTTGAAAATAATTGCAAAGAATTGGGTTGGCTAATTCAAGTCAAAAGGTGCACATCAAATTTTTTCACGTATGCAGACAATGGGTGGCAGGTTGTTTTACCAGCCTACTTACGTCGACGTATTCTTAAAGTGCAATGTTTGACAGTAAGATCGATATATGATATATTAACGGTTAAAAATCGCGGAATTCCAATTTTTTAAAAGTTTGTGAATTTTTTACAAATTATTGCAAGAGACCTTTTTTGTGATTAAAATGTACCAAATAATACGAATAGATTTTTTTTACCGAAATTTTACAATTTTTAAATTCATACAATATTTGTCAATAACTATTGATGTGCAAATAAAAAATTGTGTTCAGCAGGTCAAATAATACATGAAAAAATCCCAGATAGGACCATTTTAATGGCTACAGGAACCCACCTAGCTCCCGCACATATACAATGAGGGTGCGCCCATCAGAATATGAGACAAACTTTGTGGTATCTGTAAAATTATTAGGTTGACATGTGCTTGCTCGGTTATTTATATTTCAACAATCAACATTGATAATCATCTTTTCTGTACCTACATAAAATACTTATGCTTGTACCCATATGATATTTCCAATAGATATCTCAAATCTCAATAGTAGTATAGGTACAGATGCCGGAATTTTAAATCTATCGCACCATCATCTTCTTCACTTATTTTGTTTATTTATTATGTTACGATGAGAAATCGAAAGCTCTGCTGCATCTTGCCAGTTTGCTCAGCCTAAGAGCCTGTAGGTACAACTTACATATATGTATGCATACAACATACAATTTTTGAATCAGTTGTGACTTTGCATGGTCTCTCCCATGCCTATTCGGATAAGTACATATTCCCACACCCATCTTATGCACACTTTACAGAATACTGCATAAGCTCTCTCTTGCTACTTCTCAATCGGTAGCTCTCCCGACACATGTACAGATATGGCACTCTGTTATCTCTGGCCCTCCAAACTGACAACAAATCATGCTTATAATATTATATTGACGTGTTGGGGATTTATTTGTATAGGTACACCAGTACACCACGAATACATGACGATGAGCTTTGCCACTGCTGCTTGACCAGGGACAATGGGCTGAGCTGATGAGCTCTGATCTTCACGCATCCCCGCAACAGACTAACATTACTTACATTAAATACATTACCGATTATATCAACGTACTGTATTTTGACTGACTGAAAATAATTAATTGCAGTGTTAAGTTGTAGTCCAAAGTCTGTTTGGGATTCGAAAATTCTTCTTTTTCATATTGAAAAAAATATGATTAGTTACCAAAGAAATTACAGTTTATAATTAAATAAAATTGCTCAAAAAGTGTAATTATTATTGTTGAGGGTACATATGGTGTTCGTTGCGTTAAAAATTATGTTGAGCATTTTGTGCTTACTTTTTTAAAAACACTTATTCGGCTCCAAAAATTAGATTGTTCGAGAGCAACATTTACATTGCACTGGAATAATTTCCAATTCTGTTTGTTTATTATAAACAAGTACATTTTCATTTTCAGGCATAAAAAAATTGCTCTATTAGAAATTTAAATAAAAGACTAAAAAATATATGTTTATAAAATTGTTATAAAATATTTTCGTTTTATTTACTGTACGTCAACTTTTTAATGAATTTCATTAATGTGAATATTTTAAGGACAATCCTGTATGCACTTAACTATCGTAAATTTGATCAATGAACTTTTGAAGCGATAAAATTACTAAGCACCTCAATCACACCTATTAACGAGACACTCATGAATTCACAACGAAAGTTCCAATCTTAATTTATCCATCAAACTGATGCATGGGACAGTATGATTACATTTATATAAAAAATTATCATTAATATACAATTAACTATGAGTCTGGTACTCTGTACAACTTCAGCGTGCGATCCATACTTGTGGACGCGAGATAATGAGCATTTTTACCGAATCTCACACCAGTTGCAAGTGCTGTGTGCTCATTCATCACTTTCAGTTCGTTCCACATTTTACACAGGTAAATCCTAAAACAATTTGAAAATCGTAAAAAAATTGTTTTGTTAATAAATTTAAACTAATCAGTCTCGAATTGATTAAATTTATATTAATCTCACCTAACATCAGTTCCCGCTACTGCAAGATAGGTACCACTTTGATCAAAGCAGATATCTTTTACTTCATAGTTCTCGTCCAATTGTAAGGTCTTGAAGTTTCTCAGTTTACGTAAATCCCAAAGCTTGACGCACGAATCTTCAGCAGCTGTTGCCAAGTAGTATCCGTTTTCTGAGAAACTAATAGTAGTGATGTGCCCTGAGTGGCCAGGGAAATTCGCTACATTGGATTGTTCTTTTAGATCCCAAATTTTAACTTGAGAATCTGCTGTTCCTGTTCCAAAGATAAGTCCATCGGGATGAAACTGCGCCGTAGTTAGAGGCTGGCTGTTAGGCCCAGCAATCTAGTAAAATTTTATAAATTAAAAAAAATAACAATAACGTATGATAAATGACAATCTTTTTCATTTAAATTTTACTTTTGTCAATAATCTTCCGGTACGTATGTCTGAGAATGCCCAATAATGATCGAGAGATGAACTCAACAAATAATCCCCTGTAGGATGTAATGATAATCCAGTAACATTTGCGTCGTGAGCTCTCAAGTAAAGAGTTGTTTGACCTTTTTGAACATTCCAAATGCGTATCGATGTGTCGGGTGATGCAGTCATTACTACATCTTCATTTGGATGATACACAACTTTAGTGACCTGTATAATTAAAATGTTATAAAAGAGTTGTTAATGATTAAGTTAATATTAATGAAATGTTTTTCAATTTACGTGTACCTTCTTTGTGTGACCTTTCAGCACAGCAATCACTTGCTCAGTATCTTTATTGAATACCGTTGCATTTTTGTCTGCTCCTCCGGTTAATAATTTACTAGTATCAGATGCTTGAATATCAAGTGCCAAAATGCCAGGCACACTAGCAGAATGAAGACCCTATAAATTTTAAAGAGCAAAGAATAAAAATATCTCAGTAATCTTCAAGAAATTACTTTCTAGTATAAGTTCAATTTTCATACTGAATGCGATGCACATGTATGGAATTGCCTTATGTTATCCTGGGTCTGTAAATCTTCTGGAACAGATCTTCCACGGCGCTTTCTTTCTTGTGTAAGAACCGTTGCTTTTTCCTGCAGCTGCTGAATGATATCGTCTGTCATTCCAGCCTGTTCGTTAGGTTGCATAGCAACACCTGCTGCTTCTGCAGCTATTGCCTGTAAACAATTAACACCACATGAAATCTGAAGCATTTTTCATCGTAAATAATTTTATCCATTGTTTACATTTGTTATGCTGTTCAAATGTATTGTGGTACAATTTTAAATATGACTGCAAATCATTTGTACTCACAGGTTGAGGAACAGCAGGCTGAGCAATACCAGCCTGTGGTTTCAATGTAGCTAAAGCCTCTCGTGCAGCCGTCACTTCCTTTGTTAATCTGGCAATAACTCTGCAGGCAGCATCATACTGGTACAGAGCATGTGAAAGTTCTTGCCTGGCAGTTTGCAGTTGCTGCCTCAAAGTAAACGAATGCAACATCACGGCATCCCACTCGTCTTGAAGGATTTTCAAAATAGCTGGTATAGAGGTGGCACTTGGTGGTTTTGGCCTTGTAACCGGCTGTACTTTGAGCTCAATGAGCTTGTCAATGCTCAACTCTTTTCCATTGACTGGATCAGTGCCAAACTCTTCGACGTATTTCTCGATCAGCCGTTTCTCGAAAACAGCCCCCGACACTGGCGATATCACTGGATTTTCCGGCGTTTCATTGGAAACTGCAAAAAAACATAAAATTTATTGTTATTTATCCCATGACAGTACTGTACGGGATACTTCGTATCTGTCAGCGATTTGTCACGCAGCGGAAAATGACATCGTGAAACTGGAGTTAACCACGTTAGAGTGCAAAATTGCTGTCAGGGAACTCATCACATTTGAAACCGGTCTGACAGATACAAACTTCTTTCGGCAAAAGTGTTTTTAAGGTTATGCAAAGCTGGAAGAAAATGTTCGTTGCAGCGACAATGTCTTTGAAAGTGGAATGCATTTGTTACTGAAGCACGAGTTTGGTTACTGTTAAAAACGGCTGTCTCATTAGCGTAGAAATAATAATTGAGAAATCGACTTACTTGCACAGGTGAGCGACATTTTTGCCCACGCGTATAAGCCTAGCGCTCATCAAATCAAAGTGATCAGTGTGTGCCTCTATACTACGAGCATATACAATAATATAGGTACAACATAGGCAAATATAATGCAGAATCCAGACCAGGGATGGATGGGTTTACGACAGTAGTAAGAAGTTTTCTACTGTATGATTGTATGAGACTGTATAAAACGTATGAAACGTAATATTTACTGTAGAAAATGATGACGTAACAATACCCTAAAACCAGCGCAAAATTTTAAAATAAAAATATCAAACACATTAAACTTGAACAATTAAGATCTAATAATCTAATGAGCTAAAAGTTTAGGAACGTAAATTTGTTCTTGATAAAATGTTTCTTAGCCGAGCAAGTATCGGCGATTAACAATCCAACGATTTTTTAGTAGTCAAGAAAATATGTCCTTGGGTGATCAAGCAATGGTGATAAGCAACCCAATAGTTAATTTGTATAGAGAACCAATACTGAGGAAAAGTTTAGTTACTTGTCGTCGATACTTGCCTTCCTAACAGTCAATTTATACATGAATGAACACATATAACTTATGTTGCTATTTGCTAAAGTTTACTCGCCCGAGGTAACATTTTGTTAACTAACTGAACTAAAAAACAGTTGCTTTGCTAATCGCCGATGCTTTTTGCCTAATGGTACATTTTATTAATAAAGAATACTAAAAACAATTGGGCTGCTAATCACCGATGCTTGCTAGCTCAAGGATATATTTTGCTGACTAACTATATACTACAAAACAGTTGGATTCCTAGTTGCCGATACTCGCTTGCTCGAAGATGTATTTTGTTGATTTACAATACTAAAAACAGTAGGGTTGCTGATCGCCGATGCTTGCACGTCCGAGGATACATTGTTTCAATTATTTACACGAAATATAAAATTTAGTATCATTATTATTATTATTACTGTTATTATTATTATTACTATTTTTGTTATTAATGTTGTTATTATTATTATTATTACTATTATTATTAATATCATT